CAACAAGGCCTTTCAATCTTTCGTGTTTCTCCTCCCCCAATAACCGCTTACACTAATGCTGTTGGGTGCAACATGTTTGCTTAGTGGCAAGTCCCACTGAAAGGTAACCCCTTCATGCTGAGATCCTACCCACTTGCTCCAACCCTAACAGATCAGCTCTGTTCACCTGCAACAAATTTGCTTTCTTGTTCACTGATGGCTTTGCCTTCCATTCAATACCAACACTTGGGTCTCTGGGGGGGGGGGTTATCCACCTCTGACCATTCCCCTGGATGTGAGCCTTCATTGCTATAGTGGTATATTATTTGTGTTTTAGTAAAGCTTGGCTGGAGATCAGTGCAAAGCAGCCACACTAATCAGCCATATAGGCCAGGCAGTGGTGGCATGCACCTTTAATCCCAGCAGCCACACTAGTTAGCTAAAGAGGCTGGGCAGTGGTGGGGACAGGTCTCACTCTCAGTCTCAAACTGAGGATTTGTGGAGGCAGTATCACCCATTTTCAGTCTGAGGTAGTGTGAGAGCCCATAGACGTGGATCTGTTCTTCCGTTCCCTGGAGGTCAGAGAGTTCAGGCCTAGTCTTGCTCTTTCAAGGTTATTGACAAGAGATTTAAAGTGTGGCTATTAACAGGTTATTGTGACCTAGGGTGTGGACTTGGTGTTTGGGTATTAAGATGATAATCATTTTGTACTTAAAAGTCTTAAGAAACAAATACGAGGGCTGGAGAGACGGCTCAAAGCTGGAGAGCTTTGCCTGCTCTTCCGAAGGTTCCGAGTTCAATTCCCAGCAACCACATGTGCTTACAACTATCTGTAATGAGATTTGATGCCCTCTTCTGTGCCTGTACATGTAGGCAGAACACTGAATACATAATAAAGAAATCCTAAAGAAAAAGAAAAAAAGAAACAAACACGAGTGCATTCAGTATGCACTGGATTACCCTCCGGATACTATCTATGTCTGTATTTCTTTTGTATCTCTGCTTATTCTACCTAACATTTCTAATCCACATGCCCCTACAAGGAACGTACAAACTTGAACCTATCAAGGCTGGACCCCGACAGATATTGCCCCAATATGTGGCTATGGTAAGGTAGAGGTAAGAGCCAGTGACTGATTGCTTTTCTTTTCTGATCTTCAGGTTGAACCACAATACCTGCTTCTGGGTCTTTATCATTTGTGCTACACATTCTCTCTCTCTCTGTTTTTTTTGTTTTGTTTTGTTTTGTTTTGTTTTTTGAGAAAGGGTTTCTCCTATAGCTATGAAGCAAGTCCTGATCTTGTAGACCAGGCTAGCCTCAAACTCACTGAGATCCGCCTACCTCTACGTCCGGAGTGCTGGGATTAAATGTGTGAGCAGCCACCACCCGGCTACTCCTTTTTATGGTAAACAAAAGGGAGGAATGTTAGTATTAGTATTCAGGCATCTGTATTAGTCTGCCCTTGGGGTCCTGACAGGGTATGTCCTCTCCCCTCCCCCCCTCCTGCCACTCTTGTCCTCTGGGCCAGTCTCTGTTCCCTTCTTTCTCTGCTTACAATAAACCTCCCATGTGAGCCCTGTTGTATGGTATGGCTCTTTTCCCATCAATTTTTAAATAAACACCACCACCTGTTTCGTTTTATTTTATTTATCATTGATTCAAACAGGGTCTTGTAGCTTTCATGGCCTTGAACCTGCTACACATAGGAATACAACTTTGAACTTCTGATTTTTCTGTCCCTACTTCCCAAGTGCAGGGATTACATGGATGTACCATTATGCCAGTTTTATGTAATGTTGGGGATTGAACCCAGAACTTTGTGCATGGCAAAAGCTAAGCAAGCACTCTACTATCTACAGCCCCAGTCTGATAGTCCCATTTTATGAGAACATTCCTGTTTAGCAACATTCTTTCTAACACATATAAGTGACTCTCTTGCAGACACCCACTGGCTGCACTGTGGGTGGGCCTTTCTACCCTGATGATTCTTGAATTATGGTCATTTTCCTCCCAATCAGATAACTCCTGTCCTACCTTGAACAGCTTTAGGCTATTCCTCATTGAAGATTCACCCTCTCTGGATAGAGATTCTTCTTGTGAGGGATGATGGCACCAAAACAGGGGACCCGGGACAAAAGGATATTATCCTACACAACAGGACTAAAGAAGAAAACTGGGAAATGTCAGGGGACTGAACCATGGGTAGGTACAGAAATCCCACAAGTTGATCTAGCCCCTTCCTGGGACAGATAAGACTGTACTAACTATTCTCTTAACAGACTGGAGATACCCCTCCAGGGGCACTAGGGAATTCTGGTAGGGAAAGGAAAACCACAACCCAAGACTTCTCCATCATTTCCCCTCTAAAACTCCTCAGGAAATCACTACTTGATTGACTTCACAATGGGCAGAATCAGACCCTCAGACAAGAAAAAAAAATAATGATTTTGTTAGGAAGCATGGTCTCAGTAACTTCTGAGTGCTGTGAAAAATAGATGCCTTAGCTGGGTGGCGGTGGTGCACACCTTTAATCCCAGCACTAGGAGGCAGAGTTGAGGACAGCCTGGTTTACACAATGAGTTCCAGGACAGCCAGGGCTATGAAGACTCTTGCGCGCGCACACACAAACACAAATGCCTCTGGGGATTCTCAATTACAATGTCATCCTTCAACTGGCCCAATTCTTTAAGAAGATGGAAATGATCTAATGTTCTTTAGGGTCAACTTTTATTTTTAAGTTTATCTAACTGGCCCACAAATGTCAGCGAGATCCTGCTCCTTTGAAGCCTCTTTTTGAAATCAGGAGACTCCTTACCTAGCTCTATAACCCCATCACCTGAGTTCTCTTTCCTTTAAAGCCCACATTTCCCTGGCTGACCATGATGGCACACATCTTTAACCCCAATATTTAGTAGATAGAGGCAGGTGGATCTCTGTGAGTCCAAGGTCAGTCTGGTCTACAAAGCGAGTTCTAGGATAGCCAAGGTTGTTAAATAGAGCCTTGTCTTGAAAAACCAAACCAAAACAAAAACGTCACATATCCCAACGGGTCTGCCCTGGTTTCCCCCTGAACCCTGCCTGTCATATGCTAGAGGAACTCAAGAAGTTCAACCTCAGGGCTGGAGAGATGGCTCAGAGGTTAAGAGCACTGACTGCTCTTCCAGAGGTCCTGAGTTCAATTCCCAGCAACCACATGGTGGCTCACAACCATCCGTAATGGGGTCTGGTGCCCTCTTCTGGCCTGCAGACATACACACAGACAGAATGTTATATTATATACATAACAAATAAATAAATATTTTTAAAAAAAAAAAAGAAGTTCAACCTCAGCACTCTTCAAGGCCCTGGCATGATACAATTGCAAGAGATGAGGAAAGAATTCAGACCCACCTATGTTTTCATAGTCTGCGTTAGCCAAGTTTAAAGATATCAAAAAAGGAATTAGTTTCACTGAGAATCTTGAACCAGTATATATATACAGGTTTTCCAGACCTAAGCAGCCTTTATGGCATGGCCTGGAGAAATTTCATGCTCACTTTTGATCAGACCTCAACCTGCAAAGCAAAGAGCAATAGCGACTGGTAATGAGTATTATAGCTCAGAGTGAAGACTCATAGGACCAGGTTCCACAGGAGTCCAGGTGGTCCCTTTCAGTGATCCATCTAGAAACCCCCATGGTCATTGGAAGAGAAAGCACTTTATCATTTTTCTGAGGATATAAGGAAAGTGGAGATCAAACCTCTCGATTATTATTAGCTGAAGGACATTTCCAGAGAGAAAGTGAACCTCCTAGTATTTTTCTCCAGAAACTAAGAGAGGCTACTAGAAAACACACTAATGTAACACCAGGGCCCTTGGAGGATGTCCTCCTGAAAGACATAGTCTTCACTAAATCAGCTCAAGATAGCCATTGAAAATTGCAAAAACTGGTGGCTAAGCCAAGTAAGAGCCTGGACCAATCTTTGTAGATCACTACCTCAATGTATTTCAAACAGAACCTGTAAAGGTAGAGATAAAAGAACTAATGACATAATTTACTGACTGTTATGAGAGCTACCCAAGGAAGAGCCATCTTGAAGCAGGACATGGCTTCCTTCCTCTGTGTCCAGTTTACTTCCGGAGGGAATACCCAAGGACAGAGCTGAGGATTATGTCTCTCTTACACTCTAATGAACACTTTCCCAATAGCCAAAGCAATAATTGAAGGGCAGGATGGCTTCTGAGCAACAAGAACTTGAAACCAGCTCCCCAATTTAAACATTGATGAGTTCTGGGACTACCCTCTCCAGGATCCCGAATACCAGTCCAACTTGAGGAGCCCCAGGTAACTTGATAAGATGGTACACCCTGAGCTTCCTAGTGGATATAGAAACCTGGTATTTCATGTTGCCCCTTTCTCCAGGTCTCTAGTCACAGAAAGCAGCCATTTGTTTTTTCATAGACAAATTGGGCTAGCTCCTGAGATGTATTCCATAGCTTTCTGCCTATCGATGAGGAGACATTCTTTTCCAATACTCATTTCTCATTTTGCCTTCCCATTGGGGCAGAAATAGTCTCTCAGCATGAAGTGGGACTTGTCCTGCCTGTTTCTGACAGGAAATATCTATCTGCCTCTGGTGGAAGACAATGTAGACTTTTTAGTACAGACTGGATGGGGAAACTATAGGTCAGGCCACAACCGCTGCACCACTTCTGATACACCTAAAAAGCTCCCCTTTAGGGACAAAACAAGTAGTAAAACTCCTTGACGGTCTAACCTCTAGGTAAGGATGAACGCCCAAAGAGAGCTGCTGTATTTAATGTGGGCACCTTAGGGATGGGGGTAAATGTGACAGCCGGGCCATCTGAAAGGCTAAGCATTCAAGATCAATGACCTATGATGGGTGTGACTGTATTGGTATTGTTCCAGATACTACCTGATAGCACTACAACTATAAAACACACTGGCTTTGGAAGTAAATGAAAAGAGAAACACCATATAGGCAATGAAGGTAGTGAAAAAAATATGCCAGATCTTTACCTGAAGGAGAAGTTCTTGTAGCTGGGCCCGCTTCTGCTTTATCCGTTCTATCCGCCTCTGCTTCTCTATCTTTAAAACATGTTATAAAAAGCAACAAACAAATCCTTAAGTCATTTTATATTTTATTTTTACTTTTATTTTATGAGTGTTTTACTTCCACGTATGTCATGTTAATCTGACGCCTGGTATTCTTGGAGGCCAGAAGGTGGCATTGGATTCCCTGGAGTTACAGATGGTTCTGAGCCACCATGTGGGTGTCAGGAACTAAACCCTGGTCTTCTACAAGAGCAGCAAGTGCTCTTAGCTACTGAGCCATCTCTCCAGTCCCCAAACAAATCTTTTAAAAATGAAGTTATACTTTTATCTACTGTTGTATTTTGAGATAGGGTCTCCCTATGTAGCCCAGGCTAGGCTCAAGACCCAAGTTCCCCTTGAGTCTACCTCTCAAGTGCTACATATATTGCTGTATGACATCATATCCAGTTTGCTTTCTTCTTGGACACATCACGTAAAACAACTTTCTTGTCTGCTCGAAAAAAAATTATTTCCTGTTGGCTCCTGATTTACTCTGGTCTACACTAGGAGTTCCTTTCCATAGTTCTATTAACCATCACACTATTTTTAATACTTAAGACTCACATGGACATCTGTGTGATACTGCTATAAGAATAAAAGTTAAGCCCCCACCTGCCAGTTATGCCCACATCCAGTCAGGATAAGCTACACCTGACTCTCTCGCTAACATGCCTCTCTGATCTTACTGTCACTACTGAAGTCAGATTATACCTAATCTTTCCTTTTCTGTACCATATCCCTCCCCTTATACCAGGTATTTTTTTATTTAAAATTTTTTTTGAGACATACTGTTGCTATATACCCAGACATTACAGGATCTTGTGGTCATCCTGCCTCTAGCTTACAAGTGCTGGATTTAGAGGTGCACACTATTGGACCCAGCATTTTATATATATATATATATTGAGCTCTACATTATTCTCTGCTCCCCTCCCTGCCTCTCCCCTCCCCCTAGAACCCCATGCTCTCAATTTACTCAGGAGATCTTGTCTTTTTATACTTCTCATGTAGATTAGATCTATGTAAGTCTCTCTTAGTGTCTGCATTGTTCTCTAAGTTCTCTGGGGTTGTGGTTTGTAGGCTGGCTTTCTTGCTTTATGTTTAAAAAACACCTATGAGTGAGTATATGTGATAATTGTCTTTCTGGGTCTAGGTTACCTCACTCAAAATAATGTTTTTTAGTTCCATCCATTTTCCTGCAAAATTCAAGCTGTCATTATTTTTTTCTGCTGTGTAGTACTCTATTGTGTAAATGTACCACATTTTCCTTACCCATTCTACGGCTGAGGGACATTTAGGTTGTTTCCAGGTTCTGACTATGACAGACAAAGCTGCTATGAACATAGCTGAGCACATACATGTCTTTGTGGCACGATTGAGCATCCTTTGGATATATACCCAAAAATGGTATTATTGAGACCCAGCATTTTAAAAATAGTTTCCCACTGTTTTTGTAACAGGTTGACATTGCCTAGCATTCAGTAATTTACTGTATCACTTCTCTACAGGTATAAACTTTGCCCACACTCGGCTGTAAGCATACATTGCTCACCCTTAAACATTTGCCAACCACTCTCAACCCACTCAGTGATCATTTCATTGGAAAACTCTACCTTATCTCTCCTTCCAAGAGAATTTACAGACTTTTTTTTTCATGGATGGTCTTTCTCCTTTCTCATTCCTGAGATAGAACCTATGGCCCCATTCATACTTGGCACAAGAGCTCTATTACTGAATTGTATCTTGAGCTCAAATTAAATAATATATTTTTAATGGTTTTTCGAGACAGGGTTTCTCTGTAGCTTTGGAGCCTGGCCTGGAACTAGCTCTTGTAGACCAGGCTGACCTCAAACTCACAGAGATCTGACTGCCTCTGCCGCGCGAGTGCTGGGATTAAAGACGTGCGCCACCACTGCCTGGGTAAATCGTATTTTTGATAACGTCTATTTTTCATCTTCTTTATTAAAACAACAGTTTAGTTTCTTGGGGTCTTGATTTAAGTGTTAAACTTTGTCTTGTTCTGTGGTTAAGGACATGGGTAAAGCATTAATAATGTAATTAAAATGATATTCAAGATCTACTCAGGAAGAAGAAAAGGGAAGAAATTTCTACTGTAGCATATAAAAACACTATTGAAGAATGTGGCTTTTTTTCCCCTGTCATTCACAAGAACAATAATAGTATTTTTTATTTCTAGGTGGGGGTTGAATGCAAAAGTACTGAGTAAAATCTGAAATCAACTGCAATTATCCACAAAAGCCTGTTCACCTCAGTTCACATTATTCATGGTCTTAACAGTAAAATTATAACAAACCAATTAGAAATAGTGTCAGAAACATACTCATTTAGGGAAATTTTTCTATAGTGACTAAAGTTAACCAAGTTAAAAATATTTTTTTAACATTGCTCCAAAATTAGTGAAGGCCACATTAAAATGCTGTCACTTATTGATGGTAGAGTCAAAGGTAAATTTAACGTCCATAGTTATACTTTGGATATTGGATAAGAAACACACCATAAGCTTGAGCTATTGTCTGGAAGCACAGATTTACCTTGAACCAAAATAACTAATCAGGTAAACTTGGATCTATTAGATGACCTACCAAAAATTTACTGGCAGGTACTTTAAATTAGAATAAAATAAAGATCTTATCTAAGAAACAACACAGATGAAATCCATTCATCTAATTTTACAGTTGTTGTTGTTTTGTGTTGAATTTTTGTTGTAGGTCTGCTTTGAGACAAGGTATGTACTCAGGCTAGCCTTGAATTCTGTGGTGGAGATGACCCTGATCCTTGCTTGATCTTCTCCCTACTTCCAAGAGCTGGGGCTAGAGGGATGCACCATCATGCCCAGAACACTCACTGACATTTTGTTGCTCAGCTTCATGATTTGTAAAATAAACTTCAAATTACATCTCCAAAACTCTTCCAATTCAACATTCTCCACAGAATCTTAAAGTAATGATGCAAACGTGAACAACTAGGAATATCTTAGTATTGCATGACTATATTGCTATATGAAAATGTCTTACATATAGAATAAACAAACAAAAAAATCTACTATCCGACAGTACTTCCTACTCACCTCCAGGTTTTGACATTCCTGAGCAGAATTGGTAGGCAAGCCAATCCATTTGATTTCTTTTTTTTCCTTTGAAATTATGTTCATTGCCATTAGCACATTTAAAGCATCATAAACTCTTCGTCTAATGTTCTTCTGATCATAAGCCTGCTAAAAATATCTTTATTAAGTGATAATTTTAAGGGTTATCTTTCACATGCTGCTGCTGTTTATGACACTATCTCCCAACCGCTGAAAAATTCTCTGTCCAATGAAAATGTCTTCAGAATTCAATACGTAACAAAGACACTTTAAACATTTTATTCATTTATTTATTTTTACATTTTTACGTGTGTGTGCTGGAAGAAACAAATTCTTGCCATAGGGTCCATGTGGAGTTCAGAGAGCCACTTGTGGAAGTCCAATCTCTTCTTCCACCAAGAGAATTCTGTGTCTGACTCAGTTCATCAGGCTCGGCAGCAAAGTGCCTTGGTTGTTGAGCTATCTTACCAGCTCTGAGGACACTTTGCTTCCTTACTTTCTAGTAGTTCTGAGGATTGAACCCAAGACCTCATTCATGCTAAGCAAGTGCTCTCACAGGATTCCCCTATCTCTAACTCTGAAGACACTTTTACACAGAATCACCCGAAGCAAACATACTACCACCAGATTGACAATGAAAAATACTAAGGTGGGATAAAGATTTAATAAAATGGAAGCTTGGAAATGTAGAAAATATAAATACATGGCCAAATCTCAGCTATATAAAAACAATTATGGAATCCAGAATATATAAAAATTAAAATCCATGACAAATAAATATAGGGGTAAAGTATTAGAAGTGCCTGCATTATTAGGTAGGAAGAATTTCATACTTTAAAAGCATCAAGGATAGCAAGGCGGTGGTGGTGCACGCCTTTAATCCCAGCATTTGGGAGGTAGATCTCTGTGAGTTCAAGGCCAGCCTGGTCTACAGACCAGGACAGGCTCTAAAGCTACAGAGAAATCCTGTCTCAAAAAACAAAACAAAACAAAAAAACCATCAAGGGCTAAGGGGTAAAGTGCTTGGTACGTAAGCATAAAAACCCAAGTTGGATCCCCATCACCCACTTAAGAGTCAAGTGCAGTAGACATGCATCTGTAACTCTAGTACAAGGGTGGTGAAGACATGTGGATCCTAGGTGCTTACTGGCCTCCCAGTTAGTCAATCACTAAGCTTCAGGTTCAGTGAGAAACCCAGGCTCCAGGTGAGTATGCCAGGAATGGTACCATACATCTTTAATACCAGCACTTGGGAGACAGAAGCAAATGGTTCTCTGTGAGTTCCAAGCCAGTCAGAGATGTAAACTGAGACCCTGTCTATAAATACATACAACACATACATACATAAATAAGGTGATGAGTGACAGGTGCTCGAATGTTAACCTGGCATCTGCACATTCATGTATATTAGCCACTACACACACACACACACACACACACACACACACACACACACACAGACAATATACACATATGCACATGCATATGAAAGATAATGTCTATGTAAAACATGTGGTTCATGGAATAGTGCTGACTAGCTGTTTTCAGTCTATAAGAAGAACAGGAATTTGTCCCAAAACATATCTATACTCTTAGCACACTAACTGGTTCAAGTAACCTTTTCCTTTCTTTTGGTAATAAGAATTTTATTGAATAAATACATTTATATTGATTGTATAATGAGGTTTTTATCTTATTGTAGATAGGAACTTCTGCTTTTGGAGTTTTTTATTTGTTGGTTTTTGAAGATAAGATTTCTCTGTGTAACCCTGGGTTTCCAAGAACTCACTCTGTAGATCAGGCTGGACTCCACTCAGAGATCTGCCTGCCTCTGCCTGATGATAGGAAGTTTTTAAGACAAAATTGAATCAATTAAATTTCATGATAATAAAGGATAGTGGGGAACACTGAATTGATCTAAATATAAAATGAATTCTAAATCAACATAAAATTTAAATTATGTAACTGAATTTTATTTTGTTTTTTGGACATGGGGGAGGGCTCACTATGTAGCCCAGGTTAGCCTTGGACTTACTATATACTGCAAGTTGGCTTCAAAATTGTTGATTTTCTTCTGCTTCAATCTCCTAAGTGCAAGGCTCCAAAATTATTGGGGGGCTAACAACATGGACCAGCGGGGTAAAGCATTTCCCAGATAGGTGTGATGACCTGAGTTCAGTCTAGAGCCCAGGTGAAGGTAAGGAGGGAACTGACTCAACAGTGTTCTCTGACTCAGCATAAATGTTATGGCATGCATGTGCCCACACTTATCATACATGCAAACATGAAATATTAAAAATATTCAAAATACGTATCTGTTCAAATAAAAGAGTATTTCTAAAACAAACCAAAAATTTACAATAGAAATTCCCTTAATATGAAATAGGAAACTCTCAATTGAATGACTCCCTGCTTCCTCAGAGCTATCGCTCAGACTCATAGGTAAACTGAACCATGTACTACAGTCCATATGAAACTCATGATTCACCTACCGAATCGGCTGCCAGATGGTTATTTGAATTGGTAAACTCGGATACCAGTTCATCAGCGACTTCATTGTATGATGTCGTGCCTTTCCGCTGAACTTTCTCGCACACTTTCATTGAGAAATGTCTTAAGCCTTTCCCATTTTTATCACCTTTTTTGCTTCGTTTACTAGAAAAGAAAAAAATTCATATTCCATTATAATTAAAGGGACTTCCTCTACAAAACTATGCAAAAATAAAACCAGAAGAGAATCATTTAGTTTCCATGTTTTAGTTAGTTTCGAATGAAGAAAATTTAAATTGAATGAGGGAATGTTTTCAAAATTAATTTTTATCTTAAAAGCTCAACAATATACAGTGCTTTTTTATCCATTTAGTAAGCAAGTACTGACAAATTACTGTCATCTCAGTCACTTTGAGACACTATAAATAAATTTGTGAAAAGTTACAACAACTCTACCTTCTAGAGATAATGTCTTAATATTTATGTTTTCTTTGACATTAAAAAAATCACTATCAGTTCTTAGCCATTAAGAAATGAGGGGTTAGTTTAGTCCAAATAATATGTGGGCATCAAATATATGCAAGAACTGTTTTAGGGACCAGAAGTATAAAAATTCAGGTGAAATTCCTTTCCTCAATAAGTCTAAGAACATGATGATGAAACACATTCACAATGTGGACAATTCCAAAGGTAAAAGTGTCAGGCCACAGTCACTAGCAATGTCCTGTGGAAAGATGGACAGTTATTTTAACGTATAGGAAGATGGCTTGCGGGGACAGTCATAAGCAGTGAGTGAAGGTCAAAGGAAGGAAATGAGGAGCTTTAGTCAGGAGAAGCAGCAACGAATACAGGATGGCAAAAACAGGTAAGACATATATTAAATAGTAGAAACAAGCAGGGGGCCCCCAATATAGAACGCAAGGTGAGCAATGACAAACATGGGAAAACCAGGCTTAAACACAAAGTAAAAAAATTTTGACTTCATCTCATCATGTTTATCAGCAAAGTCTGACCCATTAATAAATTACTCACATGTTCCATGTTATGTACCAAAAACAAAAAAACAAAAAAAAACTAGACACACTCTTTCCAAAAGAACGAGACAAGAAGATGATATCGACTTTCTTCCCCCACATTCCTGTGATGGCTGTCATCTTATATCCTTGACTATATCTAGAATCAACTAAAACCCATTCTTTAATTTTAATTTCTTGAAACACGGTCTCATTGTGTATCTCTGGCTAGCCTGAAACTCGCTACATACACAAGGCTAGCTTCAAATTTCCTTAATCAGACTGAAGCAAGAAGATCTACCTTAAATCTCAGCTACACCTTCTGGTGACAAACCAGATTAAAAAGGAAAGGATGGAAGTAGGAAACTGCTTTTTGCCTGCTTGCCCTTGTTATCACCAGCAAGATCATTTATCTTGTTGCTGACGTGTTCCTTTAACAGTATTAGAATTCAACTCCTTCAGGATTTCAACATACACCAAAGGCCAATAACAGCTCGTCAGGAATCCTCCAGGATTCCAGCACCAGATGATGGTGACATTAAGCCCAATGCACTATTGAATAACTATCAACTTCTTGGCTTTTTCCATTGTGACACAGTCATTGTTGGAGTACCCAGACCACACCTTGTAAGCCAGTCTAAATTGCCTTTTAGTGCTGTTTGTGTGTGTGTTCCATTCTATTAGTTCTGTTCCTTTAGAGAACCCTGACTAATACAATTAGGAAAGAATTATAAATGCATCCTCAGAGTACAGGCACTGAAGTACAGAAATGCAATGAAATTTCTAACTGATTTGAGTTGTACAGTGAGATACTGATGTTGGCAAAAATTACTGTGTTAAAGTTGAAGGTGAATTTTATAGGGATAAGGAGGGGAAAGAAAAACCAGCTAAGAAGCTATCGTAATTGCTGAGGTGATGACCTGAAGCTGGGTCAATGGTAGAAAACATGAACAGACAGAACTGCAAACATTGAAAGGCTAGAATCAGTAGAACTAAGCATCTGATTGATATGGAAAGAAAGGAACAGAAAAACAGAAAATCTGAATTGAGCGTTTAAATAGTATTAGGCACACTCTGAGGGGCTACTGAGATGGTTCAACAGGTAAAGGTGCTTGCTTAAATCTAATGACCCAAGTTGGACCTGGAACTCATACAATAGAAGGAAAGAACTGATTCCATTAAGTTGTTCTCTGAACTTCATATGTGTTCAGTGGCAGACACATGTACACCAACACTGATAAATAGACAATAAATATATGTGATTTTTAAAATGTTAGGTGGTGTGGGAAGTCCTATCTATGCGCTGCTTTTATCTGTTTCGGCTAGTGACTTAGCAGAATAGAGCAAGGCAGGAGTTCCAAGGAAGAGAGTAGGTGGAATCAGGGAGAAGCCATGTAACAGTCTCGCTGGAGCCTAAAAAAACTTTGTTGGTAGGCCATGACCTTGTAGTGATGCACAGATTAACGGAGATGGGTTAAGTATATAAAAGTAAGGTAAAAATATGTTTAAGCTATTGGTCAAACAGTACTGCAAACAACATAGTTTCTGAGTGATTATTTTGGAGCTGAGCAGCCATGAACGAACGAACAACATTCCACCAACAGTTAGGGGCTAGAGAGACACCTCAGCAGTTACCAGAGTTTGGTTCCAGCATCCACATCAGGCAGTTTACAACCACCTTTAACTACAGCTCCAGGAGAGTCAATGCTTTCTCTGCCCTCCAAGGGTACCTGTATGTATGTATGTATGTATGACTCACACACAACACACACATACAATCATGTAATCTTAAAACAAAAACCTCTTTAACTGTCAAGCATGCTGATGCAAACCTATAATACTAGTACTTGGAAGGCTCAAAAAAGAAAAACAAAAAACACAAACAAAATCAACAATGAAACATAACTCCCACCAAAATTAATTTCATTAAGTAGGAAATGTGTGTGTGGCTAAACAGTTGGCTCAGTAGTTAAGAACCTTTGCAGAAGACCTGGTTTAGTTTCCAACATCTACATGGCGGTTTGGTTTCCTACATCTACATGGTGGCTCACAAGCATTTGTAGCTCCAACACTAGGAGATCTGATGTCTTCTTGTCTCCTTGGACATTGGATGCATGTGGTACATACATATATATGCAGGCAAAATACTCATATGTATAAAAATAAATAAATCTAAGATTTTAATAAGTTTATATGAAATCCCATTCAACACATACTCAGAACACTAGTAAGTCAGGGTTTATCTATGTTAGTTTTACAGAAATGACTAGCCCAGGAGCATTCTAGGTGCTTCACATCCTTATAAAAGTCAATAGTACCTTTTTTCCTAATGGCTATTTAGTAGGTATAAAGCAGTACTGTTCACTGGTTTTCTTCATTAACTATATTTGTTGATGGAATAAGAGATTCTACTACTTTGTTTATTTCAGTTGAGGACAGGGTCTCACATTAGCTTATACATGTAGGCTTATAATTTCCTATGCAGCAGAGGATGTTGTAAAAACCATTAGCAAGGCTTTATTAACAGAACAATTATCATATTATAGAAGTCAATGGACTCTGAAATGACAACTATATTTTATATAGTATAATACTAATATGAAACCTAGTATAGTGGCTTGCGTGACCTTTTGAACTTAGGCTCATATAATGGCTCTAAACCAACAGATCCCTTCTTTCTTCCCCTAGTGCTGGTCATGGAACATAGGACTAATGAATGTTACATAAGTGCCCTTCCACTGATAAGTCTCTAACGCCAGAGGTAACTGACTAGAGAGATATTTATACTTGTTGAGACCACAGTAATTCTGTTATACAAAAGGAGAACCACTATACTAATATTCTAAGAAAAGACAATCTCATACCCTAAAAAGTGTCTTTTAAAAAAAGTGTTTACTATGATCTAGAACTATTTAAGAAAAAAAACCAACAATTGTTGAAAAGTTTGGGCTTGTTAGGAAACTATGGAGTATTTACTTTGGAAGAACATTTTTGTTTTGAAAAGGAGGGAGGGGCCTAAATGACTAATGTCATGAAATATCTACTCAAACTTTGCCAATAAGTGAATGGGAGGCTGAGCGGTGGTGGTAACGCCTTTAACTCCAGCATTAGGGAGGCAGAGACAGGTGGATGGATCTCTGTGAGTTGAGGCCAGCCTGGTCTACAAAGCAAGTTAGAGAACAGATTCCAAAGCTATAGAGAAACAATGTTTCAAAAATCTCTACCCCACACCAAAAAAGTGAATTAAAAAGCTCAGTGCAGAATGAAATAATGGTAGAAACTGAATGAAGTTAAAAGTTATACAAAGGAGCCCCCCTTTTCATTGCGGAATGTGAAACAAAAGACACTTATACTCACCTTTCTGAAAAATCAGAGTCTATAAATTCTCTAGCCCGTTTTCTATCACTAAAAAGACAAAAAGATAGCTTAAGCATAGCACATAACACAACTCTATCTCTTAAATCATTCATTATAGTTTGACTCATTCTAAACTGAATGTACACATGAAAAAAAACTTAATTTTTACCATGGGATAAAGACATCAAAATATAATAATTCTTAGGTTGGAATAAGCTCAATGAATACTTGGGTAGGAAAACAGTACAGATTTACAAATCAACTTTTACAAAACCCTTGTTTATATGGATATGTCTGTAACTCTGTACATGGCAAAACTTGACAGGGCTCTTACTTCATTAACTTACTTATCCTTGAAGCAAAGGTCATTCTTAATAAAGAATTACTGTTGGTTTGCATAAACACACATAGGGTAGAACCCAAGTAGTATGTTATTAGATGTGTAACACCTCAAGTACTAAAACTTCAAAAATGATAGAGTTTAGAGTATTATTTTAATATTTTTCTTTCTTCCTTCCTTTTAATTTTTATTTATGTGTATGTGCCACGTGTATGTGGGTGCCCACATTGGCCAGATGGTATCAGATGTCTGGGAGCTGGAATCCTGAGCCACCTGATGTGAGTGCTGGGAACCAAATTCTGCTCCTTTGTGAGAACAAGTATTCTTCCCACTGAGCCGCGTCTCTAGTCACTCCTTTTCTTTCTTGCATGCATATGTACCCATTCCCCACCCCATGAGACAAGGTTTTACTATGTCACCCAGACTGGCCTTGAACTCTCCCAACGGTCTGGGATTACATTAATGAACCACCACTCATTACCTCTTCCAGAAGACAGGATGCTGAAGTAACAGAGGAAAAAGCATTTTATAAACAAAAGTGAAACATAAAGGGTTTGACAGTAATGGGGGCAAAATGGTAACAGACGGAGTATCTATTTCACTGCCTAATATTTATTTAAAAAAAAAATCAAGGGAAGTTTTAATGAAAATGTTAATATATTTGCCCTCTTTTCCTAGTTTTTTTTCTGATTTTTAAGAAAGTTAAAGGGAAAATCATGAGTAAAGCCAAAACAACATAATTCTTTTAAGTGTGAAAATTTATAAAGTTAATTTTTATATCTCCAAAGTAGCTAAGTATTATAATCATAAAAAGTAGTCCTATTTCAAAGTTTTGAAAAGTCAGAAGATCTAGTGATAATTTGTTAAACCATTTTTCTCAGCTTAAATAATGGTTGTACTCAGGGCTGGAGAGATGACTAAGCAGTTAAGAGCACTGGCTGCTCTTCCAGAGAACCTGGGTTAAATTCCCAGCACCCACATGGCAGGTCGCAACTGCCTGTAACTCCAGTTTCAGGGACTCCAATACCTTCACACAGACATTCATGCAGACAAAAGAAGAATGCAAATGAAGTTAAAGTGAAAAAAGCATAAAAAATATGGTTGTACTCACTGACGTGGTGGTACTGCGTATTGAGGCAAGCCTGGACTACACAGGGAGCTCAATCATAAGTGGTGATTTTAAAGCAATATATTAGTTTTAAAGATCTAAACTAACTGGGTATGGTGACAAATAACTACAACTTCAGTATTCAAGGGGCTGAGGCAGAAGGACCACTGAGAGTTCAGGACTAGTCAGGGCTATATATCAAGTATTAGGCTAGCCAAGGTTATATCTCAAGACTCGGTCCCAAACAACAGTAAAACCCAAACTCATAGCAACCTGTAACCAGCACTCGGAAGGTGGACATAATCAGATCAGGAGTCAGGACGAACACTTAAAGGACTTAGTGAGCTGGAGACCATTCTAAATTACATGAGACCCCAATCTCAAAACCCCCCAAACAAAAATAAATAATGCCGATTAACAAAACAAGAAGAGAACTCAAGGGCTGGTGAGATGACTTAGTATATAAAACACTTGCCATGCAAGCCCAACAACCAGACCCCAGCACACATATATAAGTTAGGACTATGGGGTAAGCTGCCTGAAATCCTGGCAAGCACTCAGAGATGATTGAGGTAAACTGGCTAGATAGACTAGTCAAATCAGCAAGAGACCTCCCTCAGCAAATAAAATGTAGAGTGATGAAGGTAGACACCTGCTGTTAACCTCTTGCCTCTATATGTATTCATTCATATACATGTATGATGACAAATACATATGCCCACAAAAATCTCTCTCTCTCTCTCTCTCTCTCTCTCTCTCTCTCTGAAGAGACAGTGTTGTGGTTAAGAGCATGTACTGCTCTATCAGAGAACCAGGCTTTCTTGTTTTACTGCATTGACCTTGGGTGGATCACAACCACCTAAAACTCCAGCTCCAGTGAACCAGTACCCTTTTCTGGATTAAACAGGCACCTGCATGCACTCATGGTCACATATCCCACCCCTTTATATACTCATATATACATAATTAACAATAAAATATTTGGGTTGGCGAGATGACTTAGTGTGTTAGAGGCACCTGTGGTAAGTCTGACAAACTGAGTTGGATCTCTAGGACTCACAGTGGGAAAAGAACTGACTCCCAAAGCTTTCCTTTAATTTCCACACAGGCTACATGACAAGCATGTGTGCACACATTTGCAAAATAATAAATGTAAAAAGGGGAGGTAGGAAGACAAGGACAAGACAGCAGGACAGTGAGGGGAGACTTAGAAACAGTCATTTCTGACCCTCTTACCTGGGAACCCAGCCAGCAGCCTCAGCTATGTGTGTCTGCGTGACCATTGCTGGTGCAGGGGGATATGGACTCCCAATCAGAACACTTCCTGAATTGGTAATTCTCTGTGGTGTGCTTATAATCTGTAGAGTTGGTAACAAGAAAATAAAATTAAGTATTCACACCTTTAAACTCAGCACTAGGGAGACAGAGGCAAGCGGATCTTCTGTGAGCTTGAGGCTAGCCTGGCTGTCCAAGACAGCCAGGGCTAAATAGTGAGACCCTGTCTCAAACAAGTAAGTATTTTTAAATGAAAATGTTTAAATTGTTATTTAAAAAAATGTAAGTAAGGCATTGCTGGAGATGGTTCAAGCAGTTAAGAGCACTGGCTGCTCTTACAAAGGACCTGGGTTTGATTTCCAGCACCCACATGGCAGCTTATAATTGTCCATTATTCCAGTTCCAGGGGACCCAATGCCTTCTTTTGGCCTCTACAAACATCAGGCACACACACGGTGCATAGACACATTTCAGATAAAAGATGCATATTTAAATAGACAGACAGACAGACAGACAGGGTGTTGCTGGCTAACACACAATGCTATCTAAACAATCATCTAAACTATCAGTAGTATCTTTGATTAATTTAGACCCTAGCATTCTTAAAACATCAGTATCCTGATTCCTGGCATGATGTCACAATGTGGATTGAAGTAGGTGAACAAACAATTTGGAAGGATTAAACTGTCAACTAACAACATCTTCCCATTAGAAAAATAAAAAGCTTTTGTCCTAAGTGGTAAGCCTATAATCCTAGTACTTTGGGAGCTAGAGAGATGGCTCCTTGGTTAAGAGTGCCTTCTGCAATGGATAACAAAGGTACAATCCACAGCTCCAGAGAAACCGAATAACAAGGAGGACCCTAAGGCGGACACATGGGTCACCCTGGGAAAGAGAAATAGATGAGATCTCCTAGGCAAACTGGAGATGGAGATGAGTAGAGAGGAGAGGATGTGGAGTGGGGAACATGAGGGACTGGAATGGTTGAGTTGGGGAAGGGACAGAGAAGGTGAGTAATGAAAGATGTACCTTGATAGAGGGGGCCATCTTGGGGTATAAAGGAGAAACCTAGTGCAGGTAAACTCCCAGAAATTTAAAAAATGACCCCAGTTAAGACGTGTAGCAATAGTGGAGAGGGTGTCTAACTGGCCTTCCCTGTAATCAGATTGGTGACTACTTTAATTGTTATCATGGGACCTTCATCAAGTAACTGGCAGAAGCAGAGGCAGAGATCCACAGCCAAGCACTGGGTTGAGCTCCAGGAGCCCAGATGAGCAAGGAGTGGTGAGGGACGGGGGACAAGAGGGGGGTTGGGATGAGGTGGGAGACACACAGGATCACGATGGGGAAACCACAGAAACAGCTGACCCTGACATAGCGGGAGCTCATGGACTCTAGGGCAACAGCTAGAGAACCTGCCTGAGACTGACCTAGGCCCTCTGTATCTGGATGACAGTTGTCATAAGACTGTGAAAGCGCTGCTTTAAATTTATTTATTTATTTATTGATTGATTGATTGATTGATTTTTAAGGAAGATTTGGAAGCTGGGTGTGGTGGTACACACCTATAGCCTCAGCACTAAGGAGGCAGAGTCAGAAGAGTCCTCCACTTATTTAAAGCCAACATTTATGTATGTAGCAATTTTCTAACCAGCCACGGCTACAGTGAGACCCTGTCTCAAAAAAGCATGCTCCAATGAGTGGAAGTTATTGGAAGAAGACTGGTCCCTCTTTGGATAATGGATGCAACAGCTACTGAGCATGTAAGAATTCTACTTTAGCAACAACTTGCAAACTTCCATACTAATAGCACTTTGGTGAAGACTCAAGAAAAAAAAAATCTGTATAAAACTATCTATATAAGAAATGATTCTATTTATACTGTCTTCTGAAAGCTAGACTGCTAATCTGCATTTGGCACTATGTTCAAACTCCACATCATTCTGCAGGGTCTATACAATGCCAAGGGACACTCACAGAAAAGCTGCAAGTGTTTGCTCAAGTTTGTAATTCCAGCTCTTGAAAGACAGAGACACACAGATCTCTGAAGTTGAGGCCAGCTGGTCTACAGACTGAGTTCTAGGTCCGTCAGAGCAATGCAATGAGACCCCATCACACAAAACAAAAACACCAGTATGAAGGACATAGTTCTCACCAAAATGTTCTCTATCAAGCAGAATTTGGATATGAACAGCATAGGAAAAACAATGTGAGGCTGAGCATGAAGCTCACTTTCAGTGTATTCACCCAGCAAGTATAAGACTCTAGACTTAATTCCCAGTACTGGTCGGGTGGGCAGGAATCAAACACTAACAGAAGAAAACTGGAGTATTTCATCAATCTATCTAAACTACTCTAATCCTACAAGAGGAGCTTCCACAAAACTGTTCTAAGCACTCTAACTCAATGTCTCACTTATATAATATTATTACTAAAGAATTCTCTAAAATTGGCAGCCTAGAGTTTAGTGTTACTGATTTAAAGGACTCTGGAGGAGGATGAGAAGGAAGACATTTTAAAAAATTGATTTTTTTTAATTGAGAATAAATCTGGAAAGAAGTTACTAAATTTAGCTTGCTATATAGACCAGACTAGTCTCAAACTCAGAGATCTGTCTCTTCTATCCACAAGTGCTGGGATCTTAATACATTCTGAGTGGACAAACTGGAGAGATGACAGAGTTGAGTTTGTAATCTAAGCTGAAAACGCATATTCTCTCTATTTTTTTTAATCTATGGGGTCATGATCTGTTACAACAATGGAATACTTAGATTAACATTCCTGCAGTCTCAGACATGGAACATAAACCAACTCATGTTTCTGGGAAGGATATTATAAGGATACACCATAAAAAAGTCATCAACCATTCAGGCTCTACAAAACCACAAAACAATTAGCAAACATTCAGAAATACCAACAACCTTTAAAATGCTTAACTTAGAAACCAATATGGGTTAAACAATGGCCTTCAACAGAAGAAAAACTGCAGGCTTTACAGCAGCTGGTACAGAAGCAACTGCAACAAGATGATCACTGTATGGAAGAATCAATCAGCCCTTGATTTCTCTTGTATTTGTTGTTAAAAAGAAATCTTGTTCTTTATATAATCAAACACCACAACCTGCAGGAAGTCACCCAAAGGGTACGCAAAGGAATGAAATCTGGCAGATGGATGTGTTCTACTTTGCAGAATTTGGAAAATTAAAATATGTACACCACATCATTGAAACCTATTCAGATTTTCAATGGGCAAATGCTTTGCGTCTGTAAAAGAATGATTCGGTAATCATGCATTTACTAGAAGTTATGGCCATCATAGGTATAGGTGCACAAATAAAGACAGCATATGTCTAAAGAAAAGAAAAGGTTTTTGGTTATTATAATATAAAGCATCTTACAGTTATACTAAACAATCCTACAGGTCAGGCAGTTATAATGAAAGTCAGGAGGTGTGCTGTTAGAAAAGAGGCTTTGCTCTTGTTCCCACAGGAGAAGAAAAGCTTTAAAAACCATAAAAATAAAGATTCAGTTTTAAAAAGAAAAACCTCTTCAGAAAGAGAAATGACAGCTCAGCCACAGAGGTGACAATCCTATAGGTGATAAGGAAATAGCATAAAGGTTGGGGCAGGATTCTTCTCTTTGCAGGAAAATATCCATCTTCAAAAAGTCAAGAGACCTTGGACATTTAGATGCCTAAAGAAGATAGGTATCTAGAAAAAAAAATCACCAAGCAAAGAGAAATCTGACTTATGGTACCCATATCCTCTGCAGGATAAAATTTCACTACCTAAACATACATATCTCCCTACTTCTCAGTATAATGATAATCGCAACTCATTTAAAAATCAAAGTTGGCTTTGGAGTTGGACAGCGGCTATCCTTCTCTAAATCCAAGCACACTGTTAAAACAAAAATCCAGAGTTTCTGTCTCATATCAGGAGCTACCTGGTATGGGACAGAAGAAAGAAAAAAATCTAGAAAAAATTTTACTTTTCTTCATACCTATTATTATCTCTATGGTAACTTTTGTTGAAAATATGTATATTTGAATAATGTTTAAGTTTTCCACAATTAACAATATATTTTCCTGCAATAATCTTTGACATTTCCAGGAAGAAGATGGGACCCCACAACAATGATTCCACCTGGTGGATATGATGTCATGATGCTGATAACACCACTTTAACATCAGTTTTGGGTTACAAACTGCTCAAGATGATTCCAACTTGGCTACATGACATGGTGCACCTTCTTTTAATGTTCTGGCCAGAACTTCAAGTAAAAACTTCAGAAAAACCCAACCAACTACTCAGAAACTATCTTGCTTGATTACATTTCCTGTTTACTCATACAATATTTTGTTTAAAAAAAAAGATTTTTTAAAAAAAATTATATATGCAGGCCAGAAGAGGGCACCAGATCTCACTACAGATGGTTGTGAGCCACCTCGTGGTTGCAGGGAATTGAACTCAGGACCTCTGAAAAAATAGTCAATGCTCTGAGCCATCTCTCCAGCCCCTCATATAATATTATTTCCCTTCTCAGGTCTTTGATAGGGTTGAAGACTAGATAATCATAGTAACTTTCTTCTCATGACTTAGCCGAGTCATTTCTAACATAAGACTTGAGAATCCTTAGGATAGGATAACTATTGAAACATTTAGCATATGTTTCTTGCTTGATGATGTTCATGCTGAAATTGTAATTCTAGTTTTTATGCTTGATATTTGTTCTTATCGTATATAGTTCTGTATTAGGCTTAGAATTCTCTTATTTAGATAAAAGTGGGAGGTGCTGTGGGAACTCCTTCAGGCAAAAGCCTTTAAGATGTTGGCCCACTTTGGGCATGGTCTAATGCACTATAAATTCAGGACATAAAGCTTGAGGAGTGGGAGGTGATTGGCTGCTGAATTTGGTTCCAGTTCCCTGTGCAAGCAGAGGACTGTGGATCACTAATCTTTCGGTGAGTTTACCCCCTAATAAATAAACCTTCATTGTACTTCATTCTGGGCTAGTGTGGAACTCTTTTAAACGGCAATACAAGGTGAAATAGTACTAGCTGTCCTGTTCTGGAACTGACTCT